CGCCCCCTTGCGGGGCCCGCTGCCATGGCTTCCCCTTCCTTCCCTCCCTGCCCGAGAGCGCTGCTCACCCTGCGCCTGAGCAAAGCCACTGCAGGGGGCCAGGCATCGCCCAGAGCAGCGGGAGAGAGGGGTCGTTGGGCCTCACGCGCAAGGCAGGGCCAGGAAGGAAGAGCAGCTCAGCAGCCGCCACGCAGCCAGGAAGCGGAGAAGCATCCGCCTCATTCCCTCATAGGCCTCATTCCACATAGGAAGGGAAGCCCTGAGTGTCGCTGCGGGGCAGGCTCCATCAGGAATGGGTTTAAGGCTTGCTTTGTTTTCCAGAAGGAGGGAAAGGGAAGCTCCCCTTTCGCCACCAACAGGCTTTCTCCTTGCTGAGCCACCTCCAGTAGTGGCTTCAACAGGCCAAAACAGCAATGGTCCCTGGTGGCTCAGGATGTCTCTGCTGCCCCGTGCTTGGGAATGACGTACCAGGTGGAAGAGACACAGCCCGAGCCTCCAGCCCCAGCTAGCAGGGCTGGTGCTCCCTGTCGTCTGAGAGGAGCTCGGCTGTCGCCTCCCGGCTGAGGTACCCTGCTCCGGCAGGTGCAGCCTCATGGAAGTTTGCAGCTCTGTTGGTGCTGTGAAGTTTGGGGCGGCTGGGAGTCCAGGACCCCTCCTCCCCCACGTCCTCCTGGGCAGGGCCTGGGTGCTCACACTCTATCTCGATGTCCTCAGCATCCTTCTCCCCATAGAGCGGCACAGACTCCATCTCCAGGCCGTTTTCCAGGGCTCTGTGCTTCCCGCCCTGCTGGTACCACTTGCAGGCCGTGGAGCCATGGCAGGTTAGGTCAAGCCCCATGTGGTTCCTGGTCAGGCAAACCTCCAGCATGTAGTAGAAGGTCCAAAACACAGCAAAGCATCCCAACAGCAGGAGGGTCTGCGGAGGTGGAGGAGGAGACCCTTTCAGAAACAAAACCCGCATCTACCCCAGAGCCCTGCACTGTCACCCAGCATGGCTCAGCAGAGAGGAGGCAGTGCCAGGAGGCCCGGCGATGCGGGCTGGGCTGGCCAGTTCCCATTTCTCCAGTCATGACTGCAGAGCATCAGGGATCCCCATACTTCACCACCTGACAGATAGAGGCTCTGTCAGTCTCCTCAGTCCGCAGGCAGGCTTACCTTGAGAGTGTTAGCAGTGATGGTGTAGCGCTGCTCCTCAGGGATCTCCAGCCCTGGAGGGCACGGCAGCGAGAAGTTGCTGTTTAGGTACTGCCCGCTCATGGCTTCCTCCAGCAGCCTGGAGAACAGAGGCACCGAGTGAGAGTCCTGCAGGCAGGGCTGCCCCAGGGAGGGTCCCAAACGCCCGTGAAGGGTCTAGAGTGCCTTTTGCACCATGGAGGCTTGCCCTCCTGGGTCAGACGCAGCCAATAGAGCCGTTGCGCGCAGCCCTCAGCTCCCCTCCGCCACGCGCCTCGTGGTGACACTGCTCCAGCCAAGCAAAGCCTTCTCAGGCGCTTGCTGTGATAATGTCCCTTAGCCTTTCTCCTGTGTCCCCACCGAGACAGTACTAGGTTGTGGTCTCCTACCTCTGCCGCTCCTTCATCTCTGCTGGGGACCAGGAGGAGCCATAGAGGGTCAGCTGCCACTCTCTCAGGGTCCCAGCCCTCAGGCTTTCATCCCCTGGGAAAACAAGAAGCTTGGACCAGTGGGAAACTCTCCCAACCGGCAAGGTGTCCCAACATCAGGCTAATCCCCCAGCAGACCAGCTGCAGAGCTGGCAGCTCTGCAGGACGCGGCTCAGAGCTGGGAGTGAGGGGATCTGGGCACGCTCTGGCCAGGCACCTCTAAGAGGGGGGTGCTCCACCTCTGCCACAGTGCGCAACTGCCAGTCCCAGCCTCACCGCGCTGCTACCGCCCCGAGAGACCCCGCGGTACCCCAGAAGGGAGGGACTCACTGGTGTCCCTGATGACAAGTCTGTACGTGCCCTGCGCTTCCTCGCCCCAGCACCGGACTGTGGAGAAGGTCCAGTCAGCGAAGCCATTGGGGTCCCTGCCAGAGGGTGGGGAGAAATAACCCGTGAGTGCGTAACGTGGTGTGAGCCACGAGGCCGGACACAGGCCCTGGCTCTCCTGCTCAGGGCCAGCTGGGCTGGGCATCCTGCTCCACAGCGTGAGCCTCGCCAGCCTGCCCGTCCCCCCGCAGGGCTTACGAGTCCATGCTCCTGGTGGTCCCTATCAGGGACATCATGCCGCTGGGGCAGAAGAGCCTGATTTCCAGGTTGCCGCGGCGGGGGTGGGTTATGGTGACGGTGACTGCCACGTGCTCCAGGGTTCTCATGCCAGAGAGCTCCAGGTCGGTGGTGGTGACTGGGAAAGAGGAGGCAGGGCGTGCTGAGGCTGGTGGCAGGGATGGAGTCCCTGCTTCCAGCCTGCCCTCACATGCTACTCTGCCTCTTAATAGGACACACACATGCTCATCGCGGCCTCCTCACGGCTGCCCCCAGCCCTCTGGGCACCTGCAGCCAAGAGGCAGGAGGCACCGCAGGCACCACCCACATAGGGGCTCTGCCAAGTGCCCGCTGGCACAGCTGTGCTGTGCTCCCAGGCCTGGCCCCAGTCCCTGCTCTGCGAGGAGTGTCTCTGCCTCCCACAAGTGGAGCCACCTAAATACCTCCCTGGCTAGTGTGAGGAAAGCACAATCCCGCCCAGGCATGGGGAAGGCAGCCTGGCTCCCTCCACACCAGGCACCCCACGGAGTGCAGGCTCTGCCAAGTGCCCGCTGGCACAGCTGTGCTGTGCTCCCAGGCCTGGCCCCAGTCCCTGCTCTGCGAGGAGTGTCTCTGCCTCCCACAAGTGGAGCCACCTAAATACCTCCCTGGCTAGTGTGAGGAAAGCACAATCCCGCCCAGGCATGGGGAAGGCAGCCTGGCTCCCTCCACACCAGGCACCCCACGGAGTGCAGCGCTTGTCATGCTTGGGCTGCTCGACATGGGCAAGGGAAGTCAGGTCCTCCCGGTCCAGAGGTACAGAAGGCCCCATGCCAGCCGGCCTCTGCTCACAGCCACCCTCCGTCCCGTCTCCTGAACTCAGCAGGGACCAGACAGGATAGAGAGGTGGTGAGAAAGGGGTGAGGAGCAGTTGCTGAGGAAGGAGGGATGAAAAGTAAGGGCAGCATTAGCAAAGGGACAGCTGACTCCTGGGCATCTCCCAGCATGCCCAAGAGCAGGAAGATGGATGTGAGCCCACACTTTCCTCTGCGCCCAAGGAGCGAGGTGCACACATGCCTCCCCGCACTCTCATTTACCAGCAGTCTCTCGCCTGTGGCTGAACCTTCATTTCACAAGTGGGGCCCAGCCAGCAGGTCCTAGCTGTTCCCCATGGGGCTTGTGCCCTGTGGCTCCCTGAAATCCTGCTCAATGTCCAGCTCTCCTCTAGCCCTGGCTCAGAGCCGGTAGGTTCAGGAGCCCACCCGGAGACTGCTTTAAGCACTGTAATGAAAGAATCCCTTATCGTTCACCAAACTGTTCCCACCCTGGATCTGCAAGCTCTTTGCAGCCCTGGAGACTGTAGAACCCACAGTTATACAGGAGCCAGCTTTGGAAAGAGAAGGGGGATGAGAAGCCTGGAGTCCAGATCTCCCATCCCCACCTCTAACCATTCACAGCACCACCGACGCTCACAGCCCCAGAGCTGCTAATTATATCACAGGAAACCCTGGCACGTTTCAGAGCAGCTTTCAGCCTGCAGCTCAGCCTCCAAGCCTCCTCCGGCCAAGCAGCAGGTGGGTGATCCCCAGCCTCTTCCAAGCAGGCAGGCAGGTGCCCCGGGACCAGGCAGCCTGTCTGCCGCGGCCAGCCCACCACACCCGGTTGCCTTTCCGGGGCTCTTCCAGGCGGGCAGGCAGGTGCCCCGGGACCGGGCAGCCTGTCTGCAGCGGCCAGCCCAGCACACTCGTTGGCTTTCCGGGGCCACGCGGGAAAAGGGTTAACTCTGAGTCAGCCCTGCGGTACCTGGGGGACAGCAGTGCCCCTGGCCACACATTCCTCTGTACATACTTCTCCAAAGCGACTCTTTTCTGCCTCTTTCCAGCTCTGCTTGCTGCTGAGTCTCCAGCTCACAACTCCTTTTAGGGCAAAAGGAGCTGCTTGACCCCCCCAGCCCTCACCAGGAGCATGAAGGTCTCGGGCAGAGCAGGGCTAAGCCGCTGCCAGCCTGAGGGCTAACTGCTCTGTCCCTGCACCCTGTGCTGGGGCCCTGCGGCAGTGTGCAGGCAGGGCTGCAGTCTCCACTGCCTGCCCCGCAGGGCACAGACAGGCGGGGAGGGAGAGCATGGGCACTGCATGGGTGCCTCTGCCCAGCACTTCGACGTGACCACAGCCCACTCAGCCACAGTTTGCTCGGCGTCGCCCTGGCCTGCCAGCAAGGAGAGAAAGGGCAGGGTCATCTGCGCGGAGGGCACTGGGTTGCGGTGCTCCAAACTGTTTTCGGGGAGATCTCTGTCCTGGGAGAATGGCCTCTGGGTGCCAGGAGCAGCAGCTGGGGCAGCGAGGCATGCAGGGCCAGGCCCTGAGCAGCGCAGACCTGGGGTGGCATCTCCGGATGCGACAGGGAAGAGGCTGGCGGCCCCAGCCCCGGCGCACGAAGCAGCTGTGCATGGCCAGAGAGCGGGGTCCTGCTGGGGGGCCAGGGAAGGGCCCTGGGGCTAGGCTGCCCCTGAGCAGAGCTCTCCTTCCCACTGGTAGCAGCCGGAGCCGCGGACAGAGGCAGGCCAAGTCGGGAGCTGGAGCATTACCTAAAATGGTCAAAGCCAGACGAACAGGTCTGGCTGTGGCCCAGCCTGGTCGAGCTTGCTAATGCCTGTCTGGCTCCTCAAAGACATCAATCTATGGGATGGAGTTATCGTGTGGGGAGCGGGGAGGGGGCATAGATCAACAGACACACATCCCCTGGGGCAGGGCAGCGGAAACAGAGAGGAAAAAGCCCAGGCGTCCCAACGCTTAACCCCTTTGTAGTCTCATGCAGCCCAGGGCTGGCCCCAAGAGGCGCTGCTGCCCTGCCTGGTGGCCAGCCTGGCCGGCTATGCCCCGTCCCACCAGGGGCAGGCTGGCTCTCTGGCGGCGGTGTGCACAAGCACGTGCTCTCGCATGGCACACCTGCTCTTACCGTTCCACGTGACCTCCAGCTCCTGCGGGAGTAACGGGATGCTCTTGCCTTCCTTCAGGACAGGGCTAATGTACGAGGCGAGATACGGAACGGACTCCCAGATCTGTCACAGGTAAAGGCAAGGGGATTCTGTATGAGGCTGTGCCCTCCCTGCAGCTCTACCTCTAAATCTCCTGTCACTCTCGCAAGCTGGTCCCATCAGTAATGCTCCTACCATGTGTGCATGGGGGCACTGCCTAATGCCCTAGAAACAGCTCAGGCCCAAACACAGCATGTCAGAGGGACGGGGGGGCTGGGCCCAGGCCGAGGAACAGCGCGCTACAGTAATGCTGCTCTGGGCCACGCGAACCAGGGCAGCGTGCAGTGGCTGAAGCAAGTGCTGCAGGGCTGGTGAGAAGTGGTCACATGTCTAAGAGTGGAAGGAAAGCAACCGCCTGTCGATTGGAAGAGCTGATTGTGACTCAGGACTCCTCAGCTCTGGTTTTGTCTCTGCTGCCAACTCCATGGCCATGAGTTACTTGAAGCCCCCATGCTTCAGCCTCAGGCTCAGCTCAGCAGGGCGGGAAGTGCAGCAGAACCCAAAGCCCTGTGAGCAAGGAGAGCAGCCTGAAAACCCCAGTGAGAAACGGAGCATTGCTGGCATCCGGGCAGCGGCTCTGCACAGCTAGGCAGTGCTCAATGCATGGGTGAGGACGAAGTGCTAAAGGGTTCTGCCCTGATCTCCACGTGGGTAATGGTCCAGGGAGGAAGAGATGTAGACTCCCCTGCCTGCTCTGACCACACAACTCCCTCGGCAGCCCCAGCAGCCCCTGGGACTCTGGGAAGCCCAGAGCTGTCAGCTGAGAATACCCTGTTGCCTCGGGGCACAGTGCCCTCCCGGGGCCCGGTGCACAGGGAGGAAGGTGTTGGGGCTGCTGACAAAACTCCCCAAGCCATGAATCAGAGCTGTCGTCTCCCACGAGCAAGGCTCTCACCCATGGCTATATATAGTGCTGAGAGAGCAGCAGCTTGGAGGCAGGTTTCAGGCATTGCCGAAAAACTCATTACTTCATGCCAAAAGCAGCCTTGTAGCAAGGGCTGGCAGGACAACGGCCGAAGCACTGGCCCTGAACTGCCACGGTTTCACTGCCACTGATGCTGAGCTCTGCCCTTTGCTGAGAGACCGACAGGCAGCCGTTTCCAGTGCAGGCACGGTCCCTGCCCCTGGCGTGAATCTGTTCCATGCGGTCCTGGGGAAGTGGTGGGGCTTGCCTGGCAGCAGGGCCCTGAATTACCTTGGCAGCGTTTACCAGCCTCCAGGCGTTCAGCAAGCCAAAACCGTGCTGATGACTGTGGCTGAAGCCGGCCTGGTTGATGTCCCACTTTGCGTGACGATCCTGGTACTGAAAGGAAATGCAGGGCACTGCCGTTACCTGGAGGCACATGGGCAGCCCTGCAAACCCAGAGCGAGGGGAACTCGTCCCGGAGGGAAGGAGGCTCAGGAATATTCTGCAGCAGCAGGGAAGCAAGCCCGCATGGCCTTATTAGAAAGAAATAGGTTGACCTTTGTTTGAAACATGTCCCAGGACAAACAGGCTTCCCAGCTCCTCAGAAAGGAAATCAAGCAGCACGAAAGGGCACAAATGCCTCTGCTCTGAAACATCACAGCTGCTCCTTTTCCCCTGCCACCCGAGCCACGGCCTGCAGGATGGCAGGAGCCTTGGGGAGAAGGAACCAAGTCCCTTAAATCAACAAGAGTTGGGCCAGGATGGATCTGGGTCCCATCACTTATCGGGCTGTAGTACTCTGGCAACACTCGCTTGCAGTTGTGGAAAACACTGCCCTGTGCCAAAGCAAGTATTCTCTTACATATAACACTAGCTGGATGCAGATTCCCACTCCCCGGAGGGGCGCGAAAGGAGCCCTGCCCCAAAGTCGACTCAGACAGCTCCAGCCAGTTCCCACTCCCCCCATCCACAGCAAGCTCCCAGCAGGTCAGCAGGAGCTGTGTCGTGCCGGAGGCAGGCCCCAGCGAAAGGAAGGGCTGTGTTTGCCGCTGAGCTCTCTGTTATGTCTGTTTCCAAGAGCCCAACTCTCTTGAGAGCATAAGGAACAGCCAGAGCATGGCAGAGCTCCTTGCTTTCCCACCGCACAGACTGCTGGGTGGCATTGCAGAGAGGCGCACCAGCACTTTGGCTCAGCCAGCCAAAGCACACATGCACACGCTCCTGGTGCCTGCGGGCGAGGAACGGTGAGCCTATGGAAGACCTGCACGCTCGCAGATGGAGGAATTCCTGGAGCAAACACCCCATTTGTTATCATGACAGAGGAAAATGTCTCTGCTGCATTCCTGGAGGGAACAAGGGGTGAGGGGAAAACACAATCCATTTGCTGGGAGCCAGACAATGGAGAGATTTACAGAGAGGCAGACGGAGCAAAACAAGGATGTGCACAGCAGGGCTACAGCCATCCTGCAGCATCCTTGAAGAGAAGCCACAGGAGACGCATCAGCAGGGAGGGCTGTTAGCTCACCTTGGTGGCTGTGAAGACAATGATGTGCTGGACGTCTCGCCAGGTGAGACACGGCCGCACCTGCAGCATCAGTGCAATCATCCCAGCTGCAAGAGGAGCAGCAGCTGACGTCCCGGTGTGGCCCTCCGTGCACCCTGTGCCCTTCTGCAAATCCCAATCTGTCGTCACCTTTGGAGAAAGAGGAGGAGAGAGGCCTCCTGTCAGGTCCGCTGGCTGCAGTGCTGGGCTGGTTGGGCTAGGTCACTGCTGTGCATGCTTCAAGGGGCTGGAGCAACCACGCACGCAGCCCCCGTCCCCGCGCTGTGCTCTTCCAACACCAGCTCCTTGGGCAGCCCACGCCTGGCCTGCGACCCAATCGCCAGCAAACGCCCTGGGGGCACAGGGAGAGCAGCTCGGCTGCTCCAGAGGGCTGCCCAGAGAGGAGCACTGCCTCCTGCACTGTGCAAGCAGCACAGCCCAGCTAAGAAATGAGCAATGCCTAAACGCAACAGGCAGAACCAGGGCCAGGGGTACAGAGAACAAGGCAGATGGCAGAGAGGTTGTGAGTGAGAGCAGCTGGGGGGCCCTATGCGGAGGCCAGAGTCCTAATTTGCCACATGAGCACCCCCAGCAGTGCGCAAGACGGTGCACAAGCGGGTGGGTTTTCCTGACAGCCCTGCAGTGCTGAGCTATCGCTCGTGCGTTACAATCAGCAATACTCATGTAATTGTTATTGCTCTACCACAAGCCTGGTGAGGAAGAAAAGATCCCCTAAGGGCTGGCTGGGAACACGAAAAGGCTTAGAAAACTGGGATTGAGCGGGAGAAAACATGGAGCCATCAGCTCTCCACCCCACTAGGTCCAGGTTCCCCCAGCCAGCCTGCCCTCAGGTGCCAAGGGCCCTCTGGGGCCCCTGGTTATTGCTTGCTCCAGATAGTGAAAACCTTCTCCACCCCAGGACGTCTTTAGCTGGGCTGAGTGGATTGGCCCAGGAGGAAAGACGAGCTAATCCATCCCCCGCCGCAGTGATGCTGTGGCTATTACAAGCATGCTTTGGGCAGCCAGGAATGTATCTCCCCTGCTCTCCCAGGTAGCCAGCCCCGCCAAGCTCTCCTCTAAACGCTGCCTGACCCAGGTGAGCAGATGGGAAAGCCTTCGGGCAGGGAGTGCAAGGCGAGGTTTGGCGTGAGGATGCTGGAGCAGGAATCAGAGCGTGACGGCGCAGGCGTGGAGAACATTGTCACATGCATCGCTGAGCTGAACAGCTGGGCTTCCCCACACCGTGCTCAGCACCGTGCTGGGACGCGCGGAGGCCTTTAAAGGGGAACGCAGGCACTCACACGGCACCTTCACGCCCTTCCTGAAGAGAGCTGCTGTGTCAGAAGGAAACTGAGGCCTCCCATGCCTCCGGGCACTGTGGCTGGGCGCCCATGGCCCCTCGCCCAGGGACATCTCCTGCCTCTGTGTGACCGTGCAGAAACCAGGCAGAGAGAGGCGAGCTGGGTTAGCAGGGCAGTGCCCCAGCATCAACACAGCACGCCAAGACCAGCGTCCAGACTCCGGCCCCCTGTGTACAAGGCTTTCAGACAAAACAAGGGAGACAAGGATCACTGGATGTCCAAGGACTTCCCCTCCGGAGCTAAGACATGGGGAGGTGGTCCCAAACCCCCTGCCTGCACAAACCACATCTTATCTGTCAGTCTGCCAGCCATCTCCTCTGCACCAGCAACTTCCCACCAGATAGCAGGGAGGAATTTGCAGCGCATAGGCTTTTCTCTGTGGTTGCTGAGATCAGGCACAGAGAGAGGAGGGGCAGCCAGAGATCCTGTCATCCTCCCTCGGCCAAGACCAGAACAACAACAACAACAGCAGGGCAGCAGCAGCGGAAGAGGGTCAGGGATTACGTTGCTAAAAGGCCTGGAAACATTTCCCAGGCAATTCCTAGCACAGATATGAGTAGTGAATAAAAACCAGCACCAGGTAGGCTGGAGAACAACACAGCTTCCTTACTGAGAGGCATAGCCCTGTGCTGGGAGAGGGGATGCAAACAGCCTGCTGAGAGACTGAGCAGAGCAGCTGTCCAGGGTACAGTACTTGTAGGGAGCTCAAGCTCACCAGAAAGATCCCTGGGAGACCCTAGGTTCAGGGAAAACATGTCCCTGTGTAAAATGATGAAAGTGGATACTTTCCTTTGCAGAGAGAGAGGGGCTGGGCCTGAACTAACCAACTTCAGGAGAAACTCAAGGTAGCTACAATTTGGGAGAAAAGAAATCTTCTGGGCAAGTTCTGCTTTTCAGCTGTGCCAGTGTAAGCCTGGCTTGTATTCAGTCATGCCAGCACAACTGGGCCTCCGCAGAGGGATCAGACAGGACTGTGCAGGAGCCTACAGAGCCTCAAAAGAGGCACTGAGGAGGTTCCCAAATTGTGCCTTGCTTGTTCCTTGCCATGCTGGAGGCGTGCCACCTCACTGTAAACTAAATGCGTCCGTCCCCCTCTGCTCCCAGTGAGGACACATCCTGCATTGCCAAGGCTGCAGTTTTTGTTGCCTTCTATGTTCGATTCCGAACCGTTTTGTCAGCTGTTAACAACTGTAGTTTGCACTTGGACACTGTACATCCTACAAAGAACACTCCAAGCAGCATAAACTTTCAGTAGGAAATGCAGCTAGCGCCAAAAGCCGTATTAAATTCTTCCCATTAAGGAAACCACACAAAGTTTATAGTCTGGAAACAGGAAAAAAAAAACCCAGCAGGCAGCTGCTGAGAAGTTAACTCTGACTTGTGCACCGAAGCACAATTAAAAGGCATTTAGGAACAGAAGACAATCCTCCAGAAAAAGGGGTGTGTGAGTTTTAACATGACATGGGCTCGCTGCCGGAGCGATCACATTACTGCAAAGAAAAAGGATGGCTCTCCAGCACATGTAACTCTTAGGCTATGCATGGCATCTACTTCTGGCTCCCCGAGGGAAGACCAGCACTTACACTATTGTCACACAAGGCCAGTATTCAAAATGAAGGGGCATTCGGGACCTTCAAAGTTATCTCACCAGCAGAACACTTATGGGAAGCTGCATATAAAACCGAAAACCTAACAACTCCTGATAAAAGTACAGAAGAGCCCTTACTTGGCTGCTGTTCCCTTTTTCCCCAGCATCAGTAGTTTCCAAGCCAGCTTGGGATTTCTGAAAGGAAACATGAGCTCCAGTCTGGGTTTTACTTTCCCTGCTGCATGAGTTGAGCCATTTCTCCAGGCAGCTTGTACCATGCTCTAGCTAGACACAATGATTTCTGCACTGGTTCTGGACTGCACGAGGAGCCAGAGCAAGAGCTTGCTGAGTCTTAACATAGCTGCTTGTACAAACCAGGTGGCTGAGCAATTTAGGTGCTCTCTGTTTCCTGGCAGGTTCCTCTACTTCCTCCTGTCTTGCTTGGGCCTGTCCTGTTCCCCTGGTTTACCCAAAATGCAGGGAAGCCTGTTTTACAAGCCTGGATTTAGCTCCTCTCTGGCAGGCTCGGAGGGGCGGCCACCCTTCCCAGCTCACAGCAGCACCCTAGGCACCATCCTTCATCCGTCAGGCCTAGCTGTGGGACACACACACCCTCTAACACACACTGCCTGAGTAGGGTCTGGAAAGGCACCTTCCTTGGCTGACACAGACCTGCCACTGGCAATTCACTGCCACGTCTGCTTGGCCAGGAAAGGCCATATACAGCATGCCTTTGGGAACTGCCTGTCCTGATGGGACACCCTCCTGGTGCCTGCCAAGTCCAGGACAACCCAATCCCAAACATTCAGGCCCGGGAGCGAGTGACACTTACACCCAGTGGCTCTACGGTGGCTTGGGCTGTGCCGTGCCTGGTGGCCCCACTGGACAGGGGCAGTGCTGAGCCATAGGGGCTGGTTAGCCTGACAGCCCTCCCAGTGCACCAGGACCAAGGGAGGAACACGCTGGGTCAGGCCTGGGGCTGGTGAAAATAGGCCCGGCTGCTTGGCTCAGGGAGAAAGGACATTTTGTTGACAATAAGTCATTTTTTGGCAAAAGAAGGAGGAGTTGATAAAAATATTCTGAAAAAATCAGCTGGGAGACGACATGTGCCAGAACAGAGAAACAGATGTGGCCAAGCAGTTTAAAGAGCCCGATGCTGCTCCTAGCCCTCAGCGCTTACGCTCTCATGTTCCTTCATTGCAGAGGTGACTGGGGATGGCTGGGCAGGACGTGCCACAGCCTGAGCAGAGCCCAGCTGAGCTGCGACGCAGCCGGCCTCCGGGTGGGCTTCCCTTCCAAAAAAACAGCATTGGCCTCGGATTCTCGACACAGGGTCCCAGCTTGCTGTGCAAATGGGGCATGCGCATAGGTGGGATGAAGAGCTCCTTTTGCTGGCCGTCACCAGCGTCCCCACACAACATTCCCAGGAGCACAGCGCAGAGGAATGTCTTAGGGATGATCCAAATAGCCCGCCTCCAAAAACATATCTTCCTACAGTTCCCAGCAGCACAGGGCAGCAGTACGGCAGTCAGAAGAACCAGAGGTTTGCCCCTTGTTCGCCCAGGGCTGTTACAACTCTGCAACCAGATGTGGCCAGTAGAGCCTGGGGGAAGACGTGTGCCGTGCACGGTACTCACAATGCTCCTCATCATCTTGTCCCCACCGCTGAAGGTCACAGCCAGCATGGAGGCACACTCCTCAGCGTAGAATGGCATGGAGCCCGTCTCATCCACTGCGCCTGTGAAAAAGCAAAAGGCATTGGACCGTATGAAGCCCTTTTCATTTTAACCACTGAAATTGCAAGGTGAGGAGCCCCTGAGGTCCCGGTCTACTAGCTCTGCTTCTTCACAAGCTCCCCATCTGCTACCATGGTCTCTGCCCACGGATAGACTCTTCTCCTGATAAACCCTGAGCAAATGCTAACCCTCTCCAAGCTATGGGTGTGGAAGTGCACAGGAGGAGCTGGCAGGCCTTGGTGCGCAATCCATTCCTAGCCCCATGTGCCATCTATCCCTCAGCTCCCTCTGCCTGCCCTAGCGCATGTGCCCTGCAGGACGAAGAATTCCCACCCAGTTCAGACAGAGCGAGTCCTGTGTTTGTTTAAAGCCACTTGCAGCAGCCCAGCTGCCTGCGCTTCTGCAGGGTGAGCCTAGCTGGACGCAAATACACGGATCCAAGGAGAAGGCTTAGCGCAGCTCCAGGCAGTTGTGTGGAGCCAGCAGGCTGTGCCAGCCAGGGTGCAAGGCTACTCCCTACCTAGTCCACTACGAGCTGGGTGGCTGCTACAGTTGGGAGCCTGGATGGACAAAGCCCATCAGTCCCAGCCCAGTTCCATGAGCACAGCTGCTGCTTGGTAGGGTTTCCAGCAGGCTGGGATTGCTTTCAGTGCAAACACCTCTAGCGGAGACAGAGCCCTCACAAGGCCCACTCCTGGGAGCTGGGCAGGGAAACCGGACCCAAGCCTGTATTTTCCATGGCTGGCAGATCTGCAGGGAAGGCAGCCACAAAAAATAACCTTTCACTCTGCTTAATATTAAACAGATTTTCTACCCCCCATGTAGCTTCTGCTCTCAAGAAAATGGATTAGATGTTTATTTTTCAACATACATAACGGAAATGCTGTATTTCAGGTCATTCCCTGAACAGGGCAGCGTGTCCATCACAGCCCCTGGTGATGGATGCCTGAACACAGGCAGGAATTTCTTTGGCCTCTTGCTCCTCCGTAGGTCAAAGAAAACTGCAGTCTTGAGGGCTGTGGCCCAGTACCTCTACGCACTGCCATGTGCTGTCCTGGAGGGCAGACGTTTTCCCGCAGATTCCCACTATCTAGCTAGCTTCCGGCTGGGCAGGTTTTGCACTTTGGGGATGATCTCATTCTTCCATGTTGGGAAGAAACAAGACGAAAAGGAACGGTGGATGCTCTACTGGAAGTGGGCTATCGGGGGCTTCTCCTCCTATGCTCTCCAGAGTAGCTGGCACCTGGCAGGCTGTTTGCAAGGCTGCTCCCTCCTCTCCACAGTAGCGATTGTCACTGCAGTGTGGCAAGACCCCAGAGCGTTTTGGACAAGAGACAGTGACCTGAGCTGCAGAGCACAGCCTGCTAGCGCAGGCCTCCTCCCCTAGGCAGGAGCGCTACGCCACCAGGCACGCAGACCAGCACTCACCTATTGTGACAGTGTAGATGGAGTTGGCATAACCATCATAGTTGCAGTTGTCGCTGTGTTGCCCACCATTGCCACTGGCCACTACAAAAATGCTCCCAAACCCTCTGCGACCTGCTATCACGCCGTGCTGCAAGGCAGCCTGTGGAGAAAAAAACATCACTGATCAGGGCACGTACATAGGCTTTCCCTTCCCATGCTTTTTCCTCCTGACACCAGGGGGTTTCTTCCAGAAGTCACGGCTGCCACACCTGGCTCCAGGGCTCTCCTAGACCTCGTAGCGCACCTCACTGCTAACCGAGGGACAGACGGAGGCACGCACACTCCTCTCCTGAGCTGGCTGTGCAGGGGAAGTGTTAACCCTGTACACTGTGCTCACAGGCACAGGATGGGCTACAAAGCTGTGTCCCGGCATCTCCAGCCAGGAACTGAAATCCATGCTCCAAGACTTCAATAACCAACCCTGCCAAATACTTGAGGTGATAGCAGCGCCAGCCACAACTCCTCCAGGCTGTACTTCACCCGGCTCGCAGAGTCAGGGAGTTGTGTCTACTGAAGCCCTGAGCAGACACTGAGGTTCCAGCAGGAACGTGTTATAAAGGCAGGGACGCAGCCAACATCGTGGTTGGGGAACAGCCCATCTATTGTTTACTACGATTTTAAGTGGATTCTGCTTTAAAAAAAAAAAAAAAAAGAGAGAAGAAGAAAAACAACCTTCCAAGCAACCACGACATAAAGACTGACCAGATTTTGCACTGCAGAGGAAATGCAACAGGCCCAGCCCTCCCAACTTCAGCAGGGTTCACTCTGGAACTGGCTTTTCTGTAGCACCAGTGCTTTGCTGCTGACAGAGACTACCTACAGATGTGGCTGCTGCCCTTCTGTAAGTCCGCAGTCCCCGCATACACCTGGGCTTGCCTTTGCCGAGAAACATAGCTACATCAGTGCTGCTTGGGAAACTCCTTTCCAGGCTGACACCTTGTGCAGACGTCATCCCTGCCCAGATAACGGACACGCGTCTGATGCACGAGCAAGGTCTGCTGGAGACGCACCCTCCTCCTCTGCCCTCCCTTCAGCAGGTAAAGGCGCACACTGCATTGACCAGAAAAGCCCTTCAGCTACTCTGCTGTTTTAAAGCAAGCTTTGCCTGTGCTCTGTGTCTCAGAGCTTGTTACAGCTGCCTCCGCATGCAGAAGAGAATAAATTAACTTGTACCACTGGAAACCATTTGTCATAGTGAGCTGATACCTCAGTCGTCAGCATTGCTCTGAACAACACAGTTACTGCTTTCTTGTGGTCAGAAAAATACAGCAAAAGGCTGCCAAGCGAAACAGAAATCAAGCAGAATCGCATCACATGAGCAATGCAGCGTCAGTTTTGGGGCTCCCTTGAGTGACCCTTTGCTGCAGCAGCTGGGCGGTGGGAGCCAAGGCACACTGAGTGCATTTTGCAGGAGGTTCTGCAAGAAGGGCTCTGCAAGTAGGCAGTCTCTTCCTGGAGGAGCCGTGCAGGAAGAGGAGCAACACGTTCTCGCTGCCTAAAGAAAGCGGCAGCCAGTCCGGAGTGCTACGCTGCACATTTTCCCCTGCTGCTCTGGGGTACACACAGGCCGCGGTCTAAAAGTTACTGCAGTCCCTGGTAGTCTTTCATTCTCTGCAGTGCCCATGGACTGTGACAGAGCAGTCTGCCTGCTTCCCCCCACCATAGTCTCACTCAGTGCAAATGCAGCCATCTCCCCAACCCCTTATTTACTCCCAGCATTCGAAGGCATGCTCTCAGCCTTGTGAACAATGCCTTAGGGTTGGTCTCCTGAGTGGAGAGCATCTCTTAGGTTCCAAGAAGTGTCAGAATAATCGCACAGGTTGCAAAAGTTGCAGCATTTTCCTGCTAAGACCACAGCCTTTCCTTGAAGAGCTCATCTAATTCGGCCTGAGCACTGCCTTCCTGCAGACACGTCACCTCTCCCCACCACACAGCAACCTGCAACACCTCCACTAGCAGCGGTGGAAGCAAACAAATGTGTGCTGCACCATAGCAACATCCCTCCTCGCCTGTTCCGGCGGGCAAGAAACCACAAGAGCCATGCTAGGGGATGACCTGGGCTGCTGGAACTGTTTTATACCTTTCCCAGTTGATGGGGGCCATCCACGGTTTTCCCATCGTCATCTGGACCCCAGCTGCAAAGAGAGACACCATGAAGTAATAGCCCCAAGAGTTGCAGACAGCGAGCGATGCTTCCTCCCATTAGTCTGCCACTAGAGCGAGCTATGAGCAGCCACCAGTTACTGCCAGCACCATGACGCAGACCTGAGGGTGCTATATTTTCCTGTCTGTCAGGTTGGCCCCTCATTGCTGGCATCCGGCCATCACGTTTGCACTGTGCCCCTGGGTCAGATTCCAGTGGATGAGATGTTTGATTTTTATTAGCGTCCAGCTTCCCACACATTCCAGTCCCCGTCACTCCACTCAGCCAGGGCCCCCTGACCCCTGTCCCACAGCGTCCCTTCAGCGCAGCCAGTCTCTTGGAGGTGCTGGAGTAATGCACAGAAGGCGGCTTTGTAACCATGGGCACCATGCGCAGCCCAGGCCAGCTCTCCAGTAATGGGAACACTGACATTAATTTTAGTAGCAGTAATAAAGAGCACCGCCTTCCTGTGCCTGGCTGCAAACCTCGCCCCGGTTCAGCTGTGCACAGACCCTGAGAAAGCCTGACGGCTGGGCACAGGCAGGCACCGAGCCAGGCCTTCCCACCCCTGCCCTGGGGGAGCAGGGCACCTGTACTGTGCCCTGAGAGAACACACAGACCCGCCACCTTGCAGTCTGGCTGTGTGCCTACCACCAAAAGCAAACACACGTGATGCGGAAAGGCAGCCCTGGTTTTGGTGCCTCATGACAGAGCAGCTAATCGGAACCAGAAGAGGAGAGGAGCTGGTATGAGTGTTCAGACACGGACAACAGCTGTGACCCTGCCCCAAGGTGAGGTGGGGTGCAGGGCCTTTTGCCGCGTCGGTGCAGCCTGGCTCAGGGTCCCTGCATGGGCTGGCCAGGCAGGGCCTGCCTCGGGGCTCACCTGCAGCTGTAGATGTCATTGATCTGATAATGCTTGTTGAAGGCAATGGCCTCCATGCTGTCAGTGAGGGGCCCGTCCAGCACTCGGATGCCTGCATGACAAAGGACAACCAACATGACCAAAACCGATCAAAGCAAGCTGTATAAACAGTGCAAGCAAACTCCTCAGCAGGTTCACACTGGGGACGCTCACCTTCCGTGCCTAACCCAAACAGCTTTCCTGGAACTGTAATTAGAGATAAGTCTGCAGGGATGGGATTCAAATGAAGGTCCAGGATTGCAGGTATATCCTAATACACAGCCTGGGATCCCAGTGCTCAACATGCTCTCTCAGACACGGCTTTTCTGCTAGGCTACAACCCCAGCCCGTGAGCGCTCCAGTCCCGCTGTCAGAACCAAGCTGGTGACAGGGCAGCACAACCAACCCCCAGTTGGGCGCCCCTGAGGCCTCCCCACTGCTCTCCATAGGTTTCTTCATGTCCCATTCTCAGTTGCTGTGCTGCTCATCAGGGCTAGTCCCCACCTGGAACACAGTCACTCTCTCTGCCAGCTCACCGAGTGGCCGGGACAGAGGACACACTTGCCTCCTGAGGAAGGGCCTGAGAGATGTAGGGCATCTCCCCATTACTGCGCTCAGGCTAGCAGGGCAAGCCCACCTCCCCAACAGAACAAATGAAGGCTTCAAGCCGAGTTTTCAGTGCCCAGAGGGTTGATAATTACACAGTTTTGTATCACAGTTTAGGCTGGCAAAGAATGCTACAAATGGAAAACAGGCACACATCTCAATTAAGCCTATTTATAAACACTACAGCCACCCACCCATCTCTGCTCTTGCTGGCACAGCACACACAGCGGCTTTTTACTGTCACATCCTCATCTTCCCCCATGGAGCTGCTGAGCAGCCCAGGTAGGGATGCGCTGGCTCTCCTTGCCGTGCAGGCTGGCACTGCACTGCCTCCAGCTCTGTCCTGTGGCAGCACACACCAGCCTGGCATGGCAGGTCTCCCTGTCCCACCCAGAGCTCGAGGCTGCCCTGCGGCACCCACCCTGCCAGGCCAGGCACCGCTTTGGAGATATGGAGCTGAAGGCCACAGAAGGGCCAGGTCCCGCCTTCCTGAGCCAGGGTCAAACCCTCCCTATTTCCAGGGCTCCAGTTTGAACCATGAGCTCATGTTTCCTTCTGCCAGCTCGACCTTGCTAGCAGCCTCTGTCCGCAGCCTCCTAGGCAGCCCAGAGCCCAGTGACTCTCCCCGTGCTGTGGCCTGGGTGGCTTCTGGGGACGCACCCAGGCAGGGAGAGATACAGAGAGAGCCTTGGGCTAGGCACAGGCACATTGCTGCCTTCGATGCCCTCAGGCAAGCTCCATGCCCCCCAGCACCCTATCAGCACCCCAAGGCAAACCCTGCTCTCCAGCCCTGCTGTTACGGGGGTGGGGGGGCGTCCCGGGTTCTGCCAAGGACGCATCCTGCTGGGCACAGAGAGCTTACCTCCCTCTGCGAAGGAGCATGAGCGCTCCAGAGACAGCCAAGGCCACAGCGGTATGTTTCCTGGCTTTGCACAGGACAGATGTGCAGCCAGACCTTTGCTCCCCGTCCATCTGCAGGAGATAGACTTGAGACCACAGGCCTGGGGATGGTGAGGGGATGGGAAACGCTTGTTTCCCAGGCACCTCCAGGTGGGACTTGTGGTTCTGCACCAGAGCAGGCGTGCGTTTGCCTCGCTGCAGCTGGGGCACGTTTGCTCTGCTTGGACTGTGTGGTAAGGGTGTACATCTGCCACAAGCTCTGTGAGCCTGGCAGGCAGTGCGGGGAGTACAGTGGAAAAGCTCCTTGAATACACACCTCTCCCGCGCTGCCAGGAAATGCCTTCTCTGGAAAGGAGCTCAGGCAGATACTGGTTCCTCCCTCAGACAGACAAACCAGTCTCAGCAGGGCCCTGGCTGACTCAGAGCCACTTGGGCCAAGCCACCCCTCCCAAGCAGCAGTGCCCTGGCAGCATAGAAGAGGAGATGAGACAAGCAAGGCACAAGCTCAGCGTATCGGGGTGCCATGGCGTGCACTTACCGGCAATGCGGCTCCCGTAGGCAACTCCCACGGTGCAAAAGCTGTTGTTTGGCACAGCAGCAATCTCCCCTGCGCAGCGGGTCCCGTGGTGGTTGCCGTTCTCTTCGTCAGGGTGAGGCATAGGGTCTGGGTCATTGGAGTTCAAGTCATAGCTGCCTTCTGGGCTCTGAAAACACATTCACAGTCACAACTCGGGGCTCTGCTTTTCTCTCCTCAGGAAAAGCAGGACGTAAAAGCATACTATGAGGCCTGCCGCCCAGCCGGGGAGCCACCAGAACGTGGAGACTGCATCTGTACAGGGCTGTCACTCAAGACTCTTATCCACTACTGTGGGAGGGGGACCAAGAGAGGCAGCTTTAGCAATGCGCTGCAGGTCAGGGGGATGCCAGGTCTTGTGCCTAAGCAGCCACCTACCAAAGGAGCACAGGGTACGAACACTGGTAATCCTGCAAGTTGGGTGTAAAATCTTCCCAGGAAAAGGTCCGCACTCCCTGGCACTTCCTGCCCAGGCCAAGCCCAGGATGACAGCCTGGGTCAGACTCTGTTTGCACCTGAGCGCCGACAAGCTCATGCTGCACTAACTAGCCAGCTGGAAGCCTGCGCACGCCGTGCCCCCAGCGTTAGGCTGCCTTGCCTAGCGGCCAGTCTGCCCTCACACCCTCCTGTCGCAGAGCCGGCACTCACGTAATTTGGCTGTATGTCTTTGATGGTGTGCTCCACACCGTCGTCCACCACCACCACTGTCACACCGTGCCCCGTCACGTTGCGCTCCCACACGCCTGTGACGTTGATGTCCTTCCCGGGGCTCTTCCGGTTATTCTAAGCACCACAAAGAACAGTGAGAGGAAAGCGAAAGCAGAGCAGTGGGTCAGCTCTGAGGAAAGGGGTGCCAAGACCTTTCAAGCACTCTGGCTACAACGTGTGGGGCCGGGGCAAGGCTGGGAGTGCAGGAAGGAGCCACGGGACAGTCACTAAAGGTTTGCTTGATGGAGACAGTGAGCAACGGTGGCTCAGTCCACTAGGCAGAGTGCACAGCGCTGCAGGGGAACTACTGTGCTGCAGCCTGCTAACTGAAGAGCCAGCGTGCTCTGACTGGCTGCACTCCGCCTCAGCTGGGAAAGCTGCTGGATTGTTGTGAAACCCGGCAGGGGTTGCCTCTGCACGCAGCTTTGCCTAGCCAGCGCTGAGGCTTGCGTTGCCCCCTTTGCCTTCCTGTTTCCGTCAGAGCAAGAGGCATCTGTTGCAACAGAAACCCCTCTCCCTACCCCAGCACTACTCTGCCGCAGGAGCTATCTCCGGCTGTTAGCGCACGAGCACACGGCAGGCAAGGTGAGCTCTCAGTGAGCTTCCTCTTCGCTGCAAGGGCAGCTAGTCACCATTATGCCCACCATGTAACCACACAGACAGCCCTGTGCTGCTAGCAAGAGGAGAGCAGGAAAACCACTCACCAGATGCCATTGCTGGGGGTATTTGGGATCATTAAAGTGCAGGCTGCGTTTGGAGCGTTTCAGAAGCTTCTGTTCCGAGTGCCACCGCACGCTGTCGTGCTGTGCAAATAAAGCCTCCACTGACCTCCTTATTGCTTCAGGTTCGGGTGCCGGATGGCCGTCAGGCTGATAGGTGAAGAGGTAATGGCCCTTGAGCTCCCCAATGCGGCCCATGTTCACCAGCCCTGCAGTCCGGGCCAGCTCCTCCGCCCGCTGCTCCAGTTCCTCCTCTGGCACGTCCAAGTTCACGGCCCACGCCAGCTTGCCGTGCCTGTGAGCCGTGCCCCGGCTGTCAGTGCCAGCAGCGAGCTCTGTAGCACGGGCGAGTCCATGTGGCAATATAAGGGGGATCCAGGCTGCACTCAGCCAAAGGCACGTGTGGATACAGAGCGTGGCCTCCATCGCTGCGCTCCATAGCGGCACCCTCCACCTCCAGTGCGGCATCAGACAGGTGGGCTGCAGACAGCGAGGAGCAAGGGTGAGAGCCGTAGCCTCACCTGAACAACAAGCCCTGCGGCTGCTGTGTGGCCAGACCAGGACCTGGGTTTGCCACCAACCCCCTGGCACAGCAAAGACCTCCTAGCAGGGAAACATCACCATACCTCGTCAACACAGCTCCCGCGCCAGCAGTCCCTCCAGTTCCTTCCCAACAATGCCACACTGGGAGGCCACCCCAGGCCAGGCAAAGACCAAATGGTTGTCCCTGGCAAAGGCAGTAACTGCCCCTGCCTACAGGGACACGGCTGCGGCAGGAGGCCCACCCCACAGCCAGGCGCGAGCCTGCTCCCTTGCGGACGCCAGGACTTGCGACTGGTGGAAGAGGGGCCGCTTCTGTCTCTTGCCGTGTCGCAGGCTGCACTGCAGAAAACGCGCATGAGACTACCGGCACGCAAGAAAAACCTCACAAGAAATGCCGTGCAGTGTGGCATGCCCACATCTGAGAACCAGTTCCTCTTTCAGGGAGGCCCACCAAACTTGTTCCTCACCATATCTGCGGCTGGAGGAACCTGCTTTCCATCCAGCACTGAATCACCACCACCCTCTGAGAGCCTCCGATTCAGTGACTCCTTCCAAGGTGCTGGGACCGCACTGGGCTGAAGCGGCCCCCACATCCAGCTCTGGTCACTTCATGCACCCACTGGCGCATCGGAGCACTGCCGGGAGCTGCGGGCCACCCCAGCGGTCACCCCAGGTTGTTAGCGGTTACCCCAGGCGTTCTCCTCTCCCGCTCAGATTGTGAAATCAACTCACCGGCTGCAGTTCCTGCTAGACACCGTGAGACCCAGATCCAGACCTAAGTCCCTAAGCCAACCGCTTTAATTGCCCGTGGCTTCCTTTACGCTCAGTGGGTTGCTCCAGAGAGCAACTCAACGCGCTGAGACCCGAGAGCTACGCGGCATGGGTCCAGCACTGCCACCTCCACCCGGCCCAAGGAGCCAGGGCAATTCAGGAGGGCAGACGGCACCGCAGTGTCAGGCGGGAGCATGACTCACGGCAGCGGAAACCTCAGGAACCAGTTAGGCAAATCAGCGTTTCAGGGCAGGCTGCGGCCCTGCCCCTTTGGGCCGGACCCACGGCTCCCCCCCGGGCGCCGGGCCTTTCTCCGCCTGCGGCCCCGCTCCCAAGGACA